GACCGATGAATACGCATTACTCTGCCACACGTCGTGGAGTGAACATGTCGCTCTCTAGCCGTTGAACGGTTATTGCTGTGACGTCACTCCACTACTAACTTGGTGCCCTAACACCGATGGAGCATTTATTACTTGGAGGATCTTCGAAGTATGCAGACGTATGTTTGTACATAGACAAACAAGCACATGATGAAACCCTGTACCGTGCATTCTCATACACACACACACACACACATAAACACACAAAATCTCATATGAAAAAAAAATCTGAACGATCCATGCACCAGACACTTCAAGGTCACAACGCCTTGACTTCACTGCACAACAAAAAAAAACTTCACCAAACAACAACCAATAAAAAAAGCAATTAATACGTCATAGTGGTGGGGGGAGGCCGAGAATCAGCTGTAAACAACTACTTTGTTCACCAGTTTTATTCTTAATGACAATAAAGCATATTATTATTATTATTTCCTATGTTGGCCCGATTATCTGTATTAGCCCGATTCTCTGTGTTGGCCCGATTACCTGTGCTGTCTCGCTTGCTTTTTTCATTATACCTGAAGATGGATCTCCATTTTGCCGGTAATGTTTGCGCGTTATCATATTACTAGGTTGTTTTTCAATTTTGGTAGCCTCTCTGATTGTTCATTGCAATGAAATCTTGTTTAAATCAAAAAGGGTATATTTTTAGGAGAGATCACTTTTTGGAAAAGAGGGGTTTCGACTGTCTACTTCTCCATCTTCATACAACTGAAACAGTCATATTATTAAGATGATATGGAATCATATTTCAAATGTATGATCAAAAATGAATAATAAAAGTATCTTTCAATCTAACTTTTCTTGAATTACTCCCATCAAATACTCATTAATAAAAAGAACAATAATAGAATAGGGAACCTCCAGTTTGATTCAATTATAATAGTTCGCAAGGATTGTTGGGAGCTGATTCCGTCAACACAACACTATGAATTACCATGAAACGATTCTCATTCTTGAAACCGATTCCAACGAGAAAGCAGAAGTGGGAACAATGCATACATCATTCCGAAATTGTTACTTCCAACGAAATTCCTCATTACCATAATAATTAATAACATAATTGTTTCGAATAGAATTCAGGCTAAGAGTATCCATTTTAGAGGAATTGTTATCGATGCTATCGTCCAAGGCGGCTCCATTAACGCGAAAAAGTAGAAGTAAAAGTGATGCAAGAATTTCAATGTAATGATGTGAACGGTTACAGCAATACAGACGCGGACTGGATACTCAATTGGAGTGGAAGATAAGTTACGAGTTTAAATCGAAAGGGGTATATTTTTAGGAGAGATTTTCAATGTATACCACCGACACTTATACCAGAGAACATTCACTACATTATGATTGCAAAGTACGAGTGGAAATGTAGAAAATACTTGGAAGAAAAAATATGAAATTGTAAATTTCAACAGCGTACACATATCTGTTTTAAAATCTGTTTTTCCGTTAATCAGCTGCCACTCCCATACGAACGACAACTCTCACAAGTTGAGAAACTTGTGCGAGCTAAGGACTAACGAGGACTTACCTTTTAACGTGTGATTCCTAACACGGTATTTATAACGATAAAATTGATGCTGTTTTTGTACAGAACAGAAAATACTGGAGCGTCATATTGCTGCGGTTGGAAAAAAATGTGCTTCATTCGATAAAACAGAATTATTATAAGTAATCAAGTTGCATTGAAACTTTCTTGAAATACTATTTGTGTAAGAGCTTCATGAAGCAAGAGCTGAATGCGCCAAACTAACTGACTGTAATAAGAAAACAAGTATAGCTGAGGCACCAGTCAATCTAATAATAACACTGATGATCTTCAAACATGACTCAACCTCTGACGGAAGCATCAAACTCCTACGAAATTGATGAACACTTCGATCTAGCAGACCACTATTATAATCTTCATGCAGTCATTGTTCACTGTGGTTCTGGCATTGAATCTGGTCATTATTACGCCTTGGCCAAAGACGAAACGGACTGGTTTAAGTTTGACGATAGTCATGTCACTAAGTGTACTCGTGATGTATTGAATTTATTGGAGCCTCTGGAGACACCCTACATTTTGTTTCATCAGCGAGAGGACATTTGTAGATCATGATCTTCAGATGATGTGCTGCTGCAAGTTTTTCCGGGTTTACCTGCAGCTGAAAAAGCAAATGTGCCACTGGAATCAATGAAGTCGCCCCGGAGCGTCAATTAATATTTGTTGTTTTATAATTTCAAGATTTGTATTTTAGAATTATTGAAATATTCATACATTTGTCAACTGTTTTCAAGTATATCATGACAATGTCAACTACTGTGCGAATATTTTTCGAAATGCCGTTTTCCCATCAAGAAAAAAGTGATATGTTAGAATTATACTTGGTTTGCTAGAAAAATAGTGTAAGAGCATTGCAACTATAGGTGAATTACCAAATCGGCGTTTTTTTCCT